ATTATGATTCATTTATATGAAATGTCTGGAATAGGATTTACTTCTGAGCTATATCTTCAGCCCTAACAGTATTGTTTGAGGAGCTTTTCTGTGTGTGTGGTGCTAGAGATTAAACCCATGGCACTGTGCATGTGAGGCAGGCACTCTACCAATTTAGCTATATCCCTAGCCCCCCGAAGAGCTAAATTTTATTAAAGGTAGTTTGGTGATTTTAGAAAATAGTTCATGCTCTGTATATTAAGAAATCTTTGTTAACCCCAAGGTCACTAAAATTTTCATTTGTGTGATTTTTGTCAAATAAAATCCTAGCATCCTCCTTTTAAAGTGCCTTTGATGCACACTGTGTGCCTACTCTGCATTACTGTAACAAAAAAAAACTGAGGTTGGGCAACTTTAGAAAGAGAGGGTCTATTTTGGCTCATGGTTCTAGGGGTCTGAGGTCAAGGGTTATATCTTGACCTTGTACGGAATTAGGGAGCATGCTCTCTCTCTCTCTGTGCAGTTGCTGGGCTCTCTCCTTCATATAGTCACAAGCAATTCCATCATGAGCTCCACCTGAGGACATTAACCCTAACCACCACCCAGGCCCTACCTCCATACACTATAATCCAGTCAGACTATCTCCACCTCTTAATGGGGACTAAGTTTTAACACATGAATTCTTGGGGGATACTCTGGAATATATCCAAACATAGCACACATTTCTTGAAAAAAATTTTTTTCTGAAAAAGAATTGGAGCCAGGCATGGTGGTGCACACCTGTAATCCCAGTGGCTCAGAAGGCTGAGACAGGAGGATCAGGAGTTCAAAGCCAGCCTCAGCAATGGCAAGGTGCTAAGCAACTCAGTGAGACCCTGTCTCTAAATAAAATACAAAATAGGGCTGCGGATGTGCCTCAGTGGCTGAGTGCCTCTGAGTTCAATCCCTGGTATCCACCCCCCTGCCCAAAAAAGGATATGATTTAATGATACTATGGTCCAAAATAAGAAACAAAATTAAACGCTAAATACAAATTTAATACCTACATATATAATCAGGTAGTCAATAAACATTTTTTAAGCTGAGTGTGCAGGACACTTGAAGATTACCTCATAAAAAAATAAAGATTACCTCAATAAAAGGTATAAAAAGAAGCTGGGCATAGAGGCAAATGCCTATAATTCCAGTGGTTCAGGAGGCTGAGGCAGGAGGACCCCAAGCTCAAACCCAGCCTCAGCAACTTAGTGAGGCCCTGAGTAACTCAGGAAGAACCTGTCTCAAAAAATAAAAAGGGATGGGGATGTGGCTCAGTGGTAAAGCAACTCTGGGTTCAATTCCTGGTACTTCTCTCACCCCCCGCAAAAAAAAGTTATCAAAAGAATTACACTTTGAATTCTTCTAATTAAATAATAAACATGGTTTTATTTGTACCATAACTTTTAAAATGTGAATATTCTGTGATTCAGCCACAGTCTTTACTTCCAGGTAACTTCTTCATTGGGCCTCAATTCCCTGTATTGGAAGAAATAAGGAAGGAAAGGAAATACTGTAAATAAAATTTTCATGAGCAGATCAGAATATTTTACATTTTACTAAACAGAACCATTTTAAAAATTTTATATTAGATTCATCATATTCATTCTATTCTTTCATGATTTTAAACTTGTAGCATTTTTCTGGAGTAAAGAATTATAATTTCTTTAAAGTTGTAATTTATATCCCAGCTTTTGTCTTCCTCATCAGTTCATTTAATGTTTACTTGACGCTTTCTGGCTTATTTTTATCCTTTTTAAAATCCCTGACTTGTGACCCACCTTTCCATAATGACTGTGGATGCAACTCAATCCTCTTGCCCATTWAGCTCCTTCTAATTCAGACAGATGTATACTCACTGGAAAACAGACAGTTTTGCTAACCATACCCCTCCACTGCCAGAGGAGCCATTTCTAAACACACAAGGGAATCAGGCAGCTCCCAACTGCCATCATTCAACCACCATATCTGAAGTTCTCAGGTAGTGTTGCTRAAAATAGCACTACCCAACTCTTACCATRTGTGTGTGTGTGTGTGTGTGTATATATATATATATATATATATATATATATATATATATATATTTTTTTTTTGTACTGGGGATTGAACTAAGGGTCACTTGACCACTGAGCCACATCCCCACCCTATTTTGTATTTTATTTAGAGACAGGGTCTCATTGAATTGCTTAGCACCTTGCTTTTGATGAGGCTGGCTTTGAACTTGTAATCCTCCTGTCTCAGCCTCCCAAGCCACTACGATTACAGGMGTGTGCCACCATTCTTCGCTCTACTCTTACTATATTTATTCYGGCTATAGCATGTCTTAAGTAACATAGTATACAACAATATATGTGAAAGCTGCATACAGGTAGGCTCCGATCGGTTAGTTTAAAATTTTGTTTCTGCACTGGGATGTAACTCAGTGGTAGCAGTGCTTGCCTACGTGCACAAAGCCCTGGGTTTAACCCCCAGCTCTTTAAAAAACCAAACCAAACAAAACCCACCTGTGTTTCTATACTAAAAGGCCAGCCCCAGCAAAAGCAAGGTGCTAAGCAATTCAACGAGACCCTGTCTCTAAATAAAATACAAAATAGGGCTGGGGATGTGGCTCAGTAGTCAAGCGCCCCTTAGTTCAATCCCCGGTACCAAAAAAAAAAAAAAAAAAAAAAAAATATATATATATATACACACACACACACACACACACATATATGGTAAGAGTGGGGTATTGTTATTTTCAGCAACACTACCTGAGAACTTCAGACATGGTGGTTGAATGATTGCAGTTCAATTTTAAAAAGTGTGACAAAGATTTGAAATAGGCTGTTCATAAACTAGAGACTGCCTACATTCTAGAGTTAATCACACAATTTTATCCAAGAATTAAATAACAAGCAAGACTAGAACACAGTATCTYCTGCATATAATTACCCAGGGAAGAAAAATGACCCTTTTTGTTTATCTTTGACACATTTCATATTAAGAATATTCCCCAAAGTGGGTCAATAGCTGGTTTAAAACAATGCGTGAACTGACCTTCTGTACAACATACTCTTGTTGCGGAAGGTAGACAGTTTTTCATCATTCTTTCTGTCTAGATAACATCCAACAACAAATCCCATAGGGACGAGTACATGAACCCAGTGGTCACGCACAATCTGAAGTAAGTTCACCATGACTGCTAAAAAGAAAAATATATTAATAGAAGCATAAAATTGCCTTTGAAATGTCTTTTAAATTGCATACGAAAGAGGAAGACAGCTGTGGATGTTAAGAGATAGGTATTGAAAGTATAACAGGTATGAAATGTAAAAAATAGGTTTAAAAGCCTTTGTATATTTACTTGTCATCAGAATATAGTACAGTAATTAAAATCAACTTGATGAAGATTGGAAAAAATGATCAGTATAAAAATTATACTACACYGAAGTCTATTTATTAAATTTTATTTCTCTCTTCATCAGTGAATTGTTATAACAAATGGAGAGAAAAAATTCTACCCATAGAAGTTGATTATTTGCATCCTCCTAATATTAATTCAGAAGTTTTTTTATATTTATTTTTTGTAGTTTTGGACATAATATCTTTATTTATTTTTATGTGGTGCTGATGATTGAACCCAGGGCCTAGCACATGCTAGGCAAGTGCTCTACCGCTGAGCCACAACTCCAGCCCCTAATTCAGAAGTTTTATACATGTAAAATTGCTTTAGAATTTCTTATAATGCAAACAATTTTATCTTTTTTTTTAAAGAGAGAGAGGGGAKAGAGAGAGAGGTAGAGAGAGAATTTTTAATATTTATTTTTTAGTTCTCGGCAGACACAACATCTTTGTTGGTATGTGGTGCTGAGGATCGAACCCGGGCCGCACGCATGCCAGACGAGCGCGCTACTGCTTGAGCCACATCCCCAGCCCCGATGCAAACAATTTTAATAATGCTATCTTGCCAGAWGTGGAATTGTTTATGTTGTTATAATTAATGAAAATTAATCCTATGAGAAATTTTTWWAAAAAATTACAATGTCACAAATTTGAAAGCTCAATTAAAAGACTACAAAATATAAAAGGAGGGCCTGGGGTTGTGGCTCAGCAGTAGAGCACTTGCCTGGCATTTGTGAGCACAGGGTTCGATTCTCAGCACCATAAATAAATAAATAAATAAATAAATAAGATCAATCAACTATTAAAAAGAATGTAAAAGGAGACAGGAATACACATTTATGGGATGACTACTAGGTAGTAGAGCTACTATTTATTTTCTATGTTTAAGGTGAAATAACTATTATTTTTATCATTTTACAGATAAGAAAACAGCTCAAATAAAATAACTATTAAGCCCAGGGCTGGAATTCAAATTTGGGTTTATTCCAAAGCTCTGCCTCCTCTAACATCGCCCCCCCTGAATTTATTTATTTATTTATTTTGGTACCAGGGATTGAGYGCAGGTGTGCTTCACCACCAAGCCAYATCCCCAGCCCTTTTKTATATTTTATTAGAGACAGGGTCTCACTGAGCTGCTTAARGTCTCCATAAATTGCTGGGGTGGCTTTGAACTCCGGATCCTCCTGCCTCAGCCTCTTGAGTGGTAGGGATTACAGGCAGGCACCACCGAGCCTGGCACCCTGAACTGGTATTTATGATACTTAAGAGCTCTTAAGATCTAAGTGCTTTTGAAAGAGGAGGAGGAATAGAACCATAGTCACCAGGTGAAAAAATAACACATGCATTAATGAAAACATAACTGAATTGCCAATTTTCTTTAAAACTTTGTGCAAACAGATGAAATAAAAGTACATCCACATGCACATGTWTAAATCACACAATAGCAAAGACGTGACAACACCCTAGTAGAGAGGGCAATATATTACTGTAAATAATAGTAATTAGTTCAATATGTGCTAGGCTTAATGCAGTCTCAATTCCTACCTCTCCTTCTGACATTGATGTGCATATTTACATAATTCTATTTCTTTATTTCTCACACTTTAGTTTTTTCCTTTTTTGGTGGTACTAGAGGTTGAACCCAGAGCCTTAGTGCAAACAGGCCCTCTACCAACTGAGCTATATCCCCAACCCTATTTCTCACGTTTTAAACACCCATTATCCAAGTCACTGGATRTGGTCATGGCAATGAAGTTTAAAATCTGCAGTTACTATATATACTGTGCTTCATAAGTAACAAGTAATGCTACCCACAGCAGGTTCCAGTCTAAAGACTACTGAGGTAGAAAATTTTGATGGAGGGCTGAGGTTGTAGCTCAGTGGTAGAGTACTTGCCTAGTATCTTGAGGCACTGGGTTCAACYCTCAGCACCACATAAAAATCAAATAAAGGTATTATGTTCATCTAGAACTAAAAAAAAAAACGACACAAGTACCCAATGAGATATTTACATGCATGATTACAATTCAGTTATCAATTAAGGTTTAGTCGGCTGTCTACAGCTGGAGTTCTCAACCTTGAGTGCACATCAGAATCATCTGGGGAGCCATTTTTAGAACAGGGACTCCCTGGCCTCACCTCCAGGGCAAGGCTGGAGAGACAAGTAGTTGAAAGAAGTCTTTAGTTGATTTTGATGCAAATCTTGGAGGAAGGTAGGGGCAAGCAATTTTACTTATTTCCTATGATAGTTTTCTTAGCACCATGTTTTTATTAAATAACGTTTCTTACATTTAGATCTTAAAGTRCTTTTTGTGATACCAATCAAGTGCCAATTTAACTGTTTACTTGCTTTATAAACTTGAGCCAGTAAAGTATGGAAATAATAATGAGGACCTTAAATAAGATAATTTTCCTTTTTTTTTTTTTTCCTTTTTTGGTACCGGGGATTGAACTCAGAGGCAATCAGTTGACCACTGAGCCATATCCCCAGCCCTTTTCTGTATTCTATTTAGAGCCAGGGTCTGAGGTGCTTAGTGCCTCGCTTTTCTTGAGGCTGGCTTTGAACTTGTGATCCTCTTGTCTCAGCCTCCTGAGGCACTGGGATTACAGGCATGTGCCATGCCCAGTTGTAACTTTATTAAAAAAAATGTTTAATTGTAGATGAACATAATACCTTTATTTTTATGTGGTGCTAAGGATTGAACCCAGTGTGTCACACATGCTAGTCTAGTGCTCTACCACTGAGCTACAACCCCAGCCCTATCGTGTAACTTTAAAAAAGTACTAAACTGCAAAACACTAGACAATTTGTCTCTGTGTTCATGCATGTTCAGCAAATTCAGTGGTCACCTATTCTTCTACCTTATTAGACTTCTTAAATTTTCTTAAGAGGTGTCAAATCTACCCTATCACAGCTGTTAGTTATCATTCTTGTATTTAACCAACAAGTACTTGCTGATTTTTAGCTCCAGACAGTCTTATATAAGCCCATGGCCACCTGCAGGGTATAAGMATTACTGCTAGCATTCTCTTAACAAGGGCCAGAAGCTAAGGTTTGGTTTGGTCTGCCTCTACCCTGAGCATGAGATGAGACAGGTCTCTGTGGCTCTTAGCTGGATACAGCTCTCCAGACTCCAGAACCAAGACAGTGGGATTGATGGATTTCCAGAGTTGAACTCAACAACCACAAAAGAACATCCTKAAGAGGTAAATGACAAATCTTTAGTGCTAAGGCACTTCATGTTACAATTGTACAATCTATATTCAATGGACATTGGGAGTAGTTCACTGYACTTCATTTGTCCTGTATGTTTTCCAGCAAATGGATGACTAGGAAGGATAAAGATTTATGGATACAAGAAGGATTGGGGAGGTAGTTCGGTGGTGGAGCACTTGCCTAACGTACAAGAGGCCCTAGGTTCCGTCCTTAGCACAAGAAAAAAAAGTAAGCTAGAATGATTTCCCCTGAGATGGGTAGGAGGRAGAGAGCAGATGGGTAACTGGGTTCTTTGAGAGCTTTATTTGAGAGGCAAAGGGCAGTAAGGACTAGGGCATGATTCACTGAGGCAAGCCTAGGTTTTGCAGGAAAAAAAAGGACCAACGGCTTTAGGGGGACATCCCCATGTGCCCATAGGAGTACTATATGTATTACCAGTGTCTCTTTTTTTGTGTGATGCTGGGGATTGAACCAAGGGCCTTGTGCATATAAGGCAAGCACTCTACCAACTGAGATATATCCCCCAGCCCACCAGTGTCCTCTTATATGAGGACCCATAAAAAAACTTTTGCTTTTACTTCAAAACCAAGAATAGCTATGGTATTCCTGAAAAATGAATTGGGTTTTACCTTGTGGATTTAAATAGTCATGTATCTTTTTCTTTCTTTATTGGGAGAGGTTGAGGGATTCCTAGGGAATGAATCAGACCTTGTGTAAGCATGGCCTCTACCTCTAGGCTAGGCTTCCAGCCCCTGTCATGTATCTTTGCCCACGAAGATGATCCAAATTTTGTGGACCACCCCTAGCAAGAGCTGAATCTTAGAGCACTGACAGGTATAACTTTTACTCCTTTTTGTAACCACCAACTCACATAATCTTCACAATAGTACTGCACAGGTATTCAATAATATAATGTTTCCAATGCAGTTGGCATATATTTTTCAGATGAGGAAATCTAGGGCCAATTTTGGTGAAGTAACTTGCCTAAGGTCATATGTGCAAATAGGGGTAGAGATGGGATTAGTACAGAACCCAGGCAATCTGAGAGGTAAACAAATGTTAACCTCAATTTATCTTTCCTAATATTAATTTTTCTTCAACCCAATTTTCTCCCCAACTTCTAAAAAGAAAACTGGTGTGTATCTTTTTTATAGTCGTTCCAAATTCACGTTGGAAACGTGGATAATTAGACACTTAAAAGATTAGCATTCTATTATTTTATTGGTTCCCACACCACTTTATACACGTATCGATTAACCTATGCAAAACGGAGTAKATGCAAGGAGTTACAGAACTCCTGGAGGTCGACCATTTGTGTATGATATTCATACCCGGGAAACCAAGCACAATTCATCACGCATTTAAAAAGTAAACAGGTAAGTGCAAATTTTGTGGAATGGTCAGCTCAAGAAAGTTTGATGTTTAGAAGGGAATGAAATTAGGGAGGAAGTGGATCGCTGCGACTTGGACAAACGTGAGGTGCTCCAGGACCAGAAGCCCTTCCTTGCTTCTGGCTGGGCATGGGATCCAGGCTGGTCTCCTCTGCATTCCAGYCTGGGGGCGGCCATCGGTCATCTCTAAAGACGTTTCCCAGTTATGACAGCCTCAAGGTACCCCTTCCAAAAACTGGCTGGTGGGAAACGTGAACCCAGTCGTCCACCCAAAGACAGCCCTATTTGTTCCCCTTTCCTCTCCCTCTCCTTGGCTCGCCAGCCCGGAGGCCCTGGCCACCCCTCCACATGCACACACCGCCCAGCCTGCACAACCCGACCCGCGGCGCCGCGGCCGCCCGGGGTCCCCAGACCCACCTGCGGCCCTGGCGCCCACAAACGACACCAAAGATCAAGGACAGAAGCAGAGAGCACCGCMGCCGGCGCGGACGGAAGCGGCGACSTCGGGACCTGCCACTTGCCGCGCCCGCACGGAGGAGAGGGGGTGGCGGCGGCAAAGCCTGCCTTTTCTTTCTGCTAATGTTTCACTTTTCTCCTCCTTTAAGCTTTTAAACATTACCAATACTTTCTGAATCAAAGTGCTGCCCAAGGCGAGGAGACGCGTGGGCGTTGTCGCCGTCGCCGTCCCACGGCTTGGTCCCCCCACCCCCACCCCGCAGATGGTATCGTCCGGGCTCTTCCCCGCCAGGGCCCCTAGCCGCGGGGCCAAGATGGCGGCCGCCACGGAGGGTCTCCTGCCGGCCGGTCGTCACGGCTACTGCTGACCCAGCATCAGCTTTCCTCCTTCCGGAACCTGGCTTCGAGCAGGGGTTGGGAAGGGCAGTGGACGGCGTTGGGGGAGGCCCGCGAGGCAAGTGGGAGCGGGAGGACGGAGTGAGCCATTGCATGGGGGAGGGGGCGTCCTTGGCCTTAGGCAGAGCCCGGCTCCGACTCCCACCCGGTCTCTCCCGAGGACGTGCTCCGCGGTGCCGGCTGCCACTGCCCTGGTGGCCCCCAGCAAAAGTGGAGGGACAGACAAGTGACTTTTCCGAGGGTCGAAGACTCCGCGGTCGTTTGCGGCCGTGCGTGCGGTTCACTCCCTCCTTTCCGCGGTCCCCGCTGCGCGCTCGGTCTCCTGGCGCTGGACGAGTTTATCCCACGCCGGCTTCGGCTCCTTCTCCTCGTGGCCGCCGCGCCCTAGGCCTCCCCACCCGGGGTCTTGCCGTCTTCTTCGGCTCAGAGACCTCGAGGCTGCTAAGCACTAGGCATAGTAGGCGTCCTTTTAGCTCCCCATCTCCAAAGACCTTTCAGATGTTTGTACCGTGCTTAATTAGAATTGTCTCGGCCTTCTGCAGCCTCCCACCATGGTCCTCTAGCGCTTCCACTACCTGCACTTTGCCAAGACCTCATTCTTTCTTACCTTTGTACTCTTTAACGWGCTGTTCAGAAAACAGTTCAGGCTAGCTTAGTCCCTGGCCASTCTGGCCTCCTGTGACCAGGCGGGCCTGAGCCATCATTTATTGCGCATCCCCGAATTTTTTATTTTACAACCAACCCCCTTGACCCTGTCATGAAGGGCTGCTTTCCTTGAATGACTAGGAAGAGATGCCACCCGAGCCTCACTCAATGAGTTCTGAGGCTAACCCAGACCCCTTCCTTTTTCCTTGGATTTTGCCTACTTCTCGGTTGTCATCAATTTGCATGATCATATGGAGAGAGGGAGTAACTGTGATATATATATTTGAGATGAGGTAGTGTTGGTCAAAATCAGTGCCCTGGGGGAATTTATGATAAGGTAATGATTCACTCCGGTCAGCGGACTGTGCTGTGAGCACTCTGTGCTTGGTAGTGGAGATAAAAAGATACCACTTTACCCTTCTTCTGTACACTTGACAGCTAACAAATATTCTTTGTGCCTCCTTTCTGCTTAGTAAAAAATAACCAACTTTATCTGGGGACCATGAAGAAGGTTTATAAAAGTAATGTTTGAGCTGGGCCATGAAGAATCAAAAGGAATTTGCTAAACTCAGGAGGACACATTCTCTCCTGGATCTAAAATAGAGCTGAAAACTTAAGTTCGGGCATAGTTAGGGAGAGTGGGAAAATAAATGGTGCTTGAGAGGCAGTGCAGGGTGGTTGATGAAGCAAGAAGTAGATTGAAAGCAGCTTGTAAATGATCCTGATTTCTAGCCAAGGGGTTCAGGTTTTATCCAGTAGTTAGCAGGAAGCCAGTAGATCCTTAGAGCAAGAGGGTGGGCGGGGGGATATTTGTTTCTTAAAATGGTTCATTGAAAACTGTGTGGAAGATCCACTTGAAATAGGAAAACTAGATGAGAGGAAATTTCAGTCATTCAGATAAGACAATGAGTGTCTCTACTGAGGCAGGACAGTAAAGGATATCAGACTAAGTAAATGCCAATTAGGATTTAACTCCTGGCCACTAATTAGCTGATAAGACCTTAGTTTTCAGTCTGGGAGACTATATGGTCAGTGGTAATATTAAAGTCCAGTGTGAGACATATACATAAAAACAGGGTGGTGTCAACCTGGTCTGCAGGAGTGGCAAAACACAGTGCTCCACAGTTGAAGGTGTTGATTTTAGAGTCTAGACCTGCACTTTTACAGTAGCAACTGGTCACTTGAGGTATTGAACACTGGCCAGTGGTTAGTTTGAATTGAGGTGTGCTGAAAATAGAAAGTACTCCTGGATTTTGAAGACTTAGTACAAAAAAACAATGTAAACAATCTTAATTTTTAAAAAATGATTACATATTGAAATGATAGTATTTTGGACTTAYTGGGTTAAATAAAATATTTTACCTGTTTATCCTTTTTAGTGTTAAAAAAATTAAAGGGACATCTGTGGCATGTGTTATATTTCTGTTGACAACTAGTCTGGTCTAAATTTATGAGGGGGGAATTGATAAGAAGGTGGCATTTGAGCTGGACCTTGAGAGAGGTGGTGAGCGGGGATGTCCAGGCAGCTTCCTAGGACCCTGCATTGCAGTTAAAGCATTCMGGTTATTTTGCTTTTTTTCCTCAGACAGAAAGAAACCCACAAACATTTCTGAGCAAGGGGTAATGTGTATAGGGATGTTTCTGAGGCTAATCTGGCAGCATTGTTTAAATTGAGAGGAAGGAAAGAAAAGCTGGAGGCAGAGAAATGGAGAAACTCATATAAGGTAATAAGGCTCACATTTAAGTACTGGCAGTAGGAACAGAAAGGGAATGATATGTGTGCAAGGCATTCTGGGGGAGAAGTAATTTGGAATTGGTAGCAGTCCAAGGGAAAGTAAAAGGAAGAACCATTTTCAAACCTTGGTTACCTAGTATTAATATTTCAATTACAAAATTTATTTGGGGCTGAAGAAATTTAGTCCCAAAATAGAACCAGCATAGAGGAGGAAGTAGTCTGCTAAATTCTCTCTCTTCATCTCCCTGCTGTTATCTATTCAATCATATCTACCAACTAATTTTCCTAAACTACAGAATTAACATTTTTCAACTTGTTAATGAATCTTAAAATGTTTCTCTTTTTCCTGAGAACTAGCTCCAGGGTTTCCAGGGCCTTTCATTATCTGGCTTCTCTCTGTTTATTAGAACTTATTTTTTCCTTTTATTTTTTGATTATATGAAAGTGTGCCAGGTTAGGTTTTTCAATGATACTGTTTTTGTTTTGTACCTCTGCTCATTATCCCTGTTTTGAATACCTTCTTTCTACCTCCTTTCCACAGCTCCTTAATGAATAATCATAGATCCCACCTCTTCTGTGACTCTCTGGGAGTCATATATATTATAGAAGCTATTTAGAAATTTTAAAATTTTATTTCTTAAGCTTTATACTTAAGCCCCTGATTATTACCAACATGTCTCATTATTACTTATTTTTATTGCTTTTATTATCCCTATTCATTTTTGTATAAGTTTAGAGATTTATACAAATTCCTAAGATTATGTTTCTCTTTAAAAAATGAAACATATATATTATACAACTTGCCTCTKCTTATGTATATTAGGGGGAAAATATACAAGTTAAAGTGCTATAATTATAAACATAATTAAATCATACCACATTTATGAGATTCTTTATTTATTTTGTAGATTTATAAGGAACTCTTCCTCTGAATTCATGGTGTTTCATCATATATACAACTGAAAAATCAGTAAGTACTTTATGTCTGATAAAGATACAGCTTAATATCCAGGTGTGCTGGTATGTACCTGTAATCCTAGCCATTCAGGAGGCTGAGGCAAGAGAAAGGCAAGTTCAGTGCCAGCATGGGCAATTCAGTTAGACCATGTCTCAAATAAAAAAGGCCTGGGAATATAGCTCAGTAGTAAAGTACCTACCTAGCATGCATGAGGCCCTGGGTTCAATCCTTAGCACCACACACACTAAAGGATATACTTTATTATGAGTATTTATAACAAAAGTCTTTTCATCTGTTGAAATCAGGATCTCTGCAAAATTTTAGCAAGAACTCATTAATTTGTATCTTCGAGATAACTTTGATTTTGACTTCATAATCTAAATGAAAGTGGGAGTGAAGGTAGATTTGAGAAGAAAGTTTCTCTTAGACCATTCATATTATTGTGGTATAAGAAACTTTTTGCCAGGGAGAATTTTCTAAGTCCTTTCCAAAATTATAAAACATTTTTCACCAAATAGGGAATTGATGTCTTTATACTTCTCATGTCTTAACTACTTTTTTCTACACTAGGTCAATTTATTTCAAATTTTATCAGTAATTTATTAAACTACTATGTGCAGGGCATGTGCTAATGTACTGAATAGATCAAGTATAGTCCTACACTCAGCTCTCTCAAGTAAGGATAAACATGTAAGTAGGTAACTCTTAATGGTGTGGTAAGAGCACTAAGCTSATTTAATCTTAGCCATGCCCATTCATTCATATAAGAAACATTGACCACCACTAATTATGACATGGAGACACTGGAATATTGATTAATAAGTTCTCTAACCTCAAGGAGTTYACATTCTAGTGTTGGGATCAGGATGAGAGAAAAGGACAGACAAAAAGCAAGTAAATAAAGAGCAATTATAGACAGCACTAAGTAATTTGAGAGAGAATGATGTTGTAGAATGTAACAGGAGTAGAGAAGGACCTCAGGGTGGTCAAAGAATGTTGCGGGATAAATTGGGGGCAAGGAAATTGTACAGTCTATTTAGAAATCTTGGTCACAATGGGTAAAAGGAAATTTGAGAAATGTAGTGGTTAGTACCAAACTATATCAGAGGATGAAGGCCATCCATAAACCTCCACACAACCTGAGTTGGTGCATAAACCTCTGGCTTCTCAGATTTGGTAGTGTGAATATGAGGTGAAGTGGAGACATGTTTGTACATGAATATTCTGAGAAATTTTGCTCTGAAAAATGAGATTCTGTAGTAGTAGTAGGGTTAAGAGGAGTCTTATAAATTGGGAAATTCTAGAGTRTCTACGTAAGCTCATGGGAATAGCATGTCAGTGATACATGTAGGGAAAGAGGAAATGACTAAAAAAAGCAGGAGTTAGAAGGCCAATGAGGATGAGATAAGGTACAAGAGGGATGGCCTTGGATGGAGACAGGGCAATTTGTTATGTATAGCAGGAGACCACAGTGTGTGTGCAGACAGATTGATAGATGTAGATTCGAGAAAGTGAGATTATCACCTGAGAGTAGGGAGGAATAGAACAGGTTTATGGTTGATCAGAAAGAGGAGTGAAATAATCTGAGATGGAAAGTCAACCTATGAAGAAGAGTAGGAATGACAGGAGTACTTAAATCTGTTTGAGATCTTTGGCTGTGAATTTAAAAAGCAAATAGCACATTTGTGTGATCCTCCCCCCAAAATTCAGCTGCTGGAGTAGACAAAGTGAATGTAGGAGTTAATCAAGGTTGGAGATGAGTACAAAGAAGAACACTAGAAGAGCAAGATATTTGAGAACATTTGCAAAGTAATCACAATGGGTCATGAACTGAAGGTGAGGACCTGGGTTGAGATACAAGGGCATTGTGGATCGTGAAGAATGATCAGTGAATTAGAGTGGAGCTCAAAGGATTTTTTTTGCAGCGGTAGTGAGATGCTTGAAGGCAAAAGGGGTGTAGGCATAGGTGGTAATAAGGTGAAGGGTGGGTGGCTGAAGTGAAATGGAGGTTATGGGGATCAAGAAAGTCAAGGAACTGAGAGGTCAGTGTTGAAGTTACTGGGAGAAAGACTGAGCCAGGAGCTAAAGTCCTCAGTGAATCAGGTCGGGTTAGTAGATATCGATGCTGAGGAGGAGCTATGGAGGCTAATAGTGAACTAGCTGCTGGCGTGAGCTTCTTCAGGACTGGAGTATTTGAAAGGGGAAGGAGAAGACATAATTTGGAAGTTGCATTGAGGAGCAGGGAACACACTTCTTGCTTTTGAGATGAAGTATGGAGAGATCTAAAAATAAAGCCCTTGAGAAGGCTGTGGAAGAAACTGCATCATTAGGGAATAGCCAGGTTTCTGTGAAGATAATCAAAAAGGAGGTTGAAGTTTCAGGTGGGTGTAAGCATAGTTTCAGAGAGTATACCAAAAGGACTTGAGAGGAAGAAGGGGATTGGGTCCAACTAGGAGATAAAAGCATCAGTGATAATGGACAACCTAGGGGTCATTGAGTTTTTGCTGTAACTCAGGTAAACAAGAATAGCAGATGTGGTGGGATTAATTTCCAGTGAGCTGGTTGTGGAAGGTAGACCATCAGTTAACCTTAGTTTGTTGATGACCTTGGGTAGGTGGTGAGAGATCATAAGTAATTCAGTGTTCTCTTACTTGCCTAGTTAGCCAGGAAAGGCTGATTTTATCTTAAGGAGCTAAATTCTGAAATATTGCTCTGGAGTTGAACTTTGTTAATAAATACTTTTGTGACATTTGTTCACTAATACACAGTTCTAGGTCCTAAATCCCCATAGATGTGTCCCTGATATATCTTTTAGAAATGCATGTAATAGGCATCTCAACATGCATTCCATCAGGAATGTGTGTCAGGTTTTGTTTTAGGAATTGCAAATATAAGATACAACCTCTGTTTTTTAGTTACTATGTGCCCGAGCAAGGGTTGTTAACATTTAACTCTGTAAAGAATGTGAATTTCTATATGCATATGTATTTTGGAGGTTTCTTAGTGTTTTGAGGATTGTGGAGGGAAAAGGCGGGTCCATAGCTTTTTATCAGATTCTTGAAGGGGTCTATTTATTTAAGGACCTCTGGGCTAATAGGAGAGAAAGACATGTTAACCAGTCACTGTGGTGCAATGTAATCAATGTCATCATAGAGCAAGGTAAAGGGGCAACAGATTGACCTTGAGGAATGAGTTCATTATTTCAGTAAATGGTTTCATTTAGAAGGAACTTAGATGTGGTAGTCTCTGTTCTAGGTAATTTACTTATTATTTGAAATCTCCAGTATCCTTTTTACATAAATATTATATAATTAATGTATAATTGAGGAAAGGTTAATTAACTTGCTCCAAATCACGTAGGAGTACCTTCAAATCTGGATCTGATTCCAAAATCTCATTTTCTTTTCATCATGTTGGGGAAACACTGAAAACTGGAAACAAGAGTGTAGGATTATGCTTGCATTGTTAAGCTTGATAATAACAGAAGTGGGTCTTAAAAAATATTTGCTTTCCATCTTTATGGAATTTCTGTTCACTTACAAATTTGAAATAATTTGTCTATTATATGTTAGAATGTGCTTTTGTTTAATTATATTTTTCTTTTGAAGGGACCTTTTTAGGTTACTGTTACTCAAACAAAAAGATGACATCTATTATCAAATTAACTACCCTCTCTGGGGTCCAAGAGGAGTCTGCTCTTTGCTATCTTCTCCAGGTTGATGAGTTTAGATTTCTATTGGACTGTGGCTGGGATGAGCACTTTTCTATGGATATTATAGATTCCCTGAGGAAGTAAGTTACATTTCATATTTCAAGACTTTTATTAAATAAACTTAAAAAAAATCAGCTTCTTATTTCTATGCTTTTATAATACCATTTTAATGTTATAGAGGGTTGCTGTCTTTTCACTAGTTTAGTTCAGAGTAAAAGAATTTTATTTAAGCCAAAAAAGCTAAATAGTGACCATTTGGAAATCTTTTTTTTTAGTTGTAGATGGACACAATACCTTTATTTTTATGTGATGCTGAGGATCGAACCCAGTGCCTCACTCATGCCAGACAAGTGTGCTACYGCTGAGCCATAGCCCTGGCCCTAAATAGTTACTGTTTTAACTTCAATTGACTTATAAGCTTTGTTTATTAAAATTCAGCAAAATTTTAAGTTAGTTGTTACTTGGCTAGTAGATTGCAGTAGAAGTTTTGTTCCTTAATTTCTGGAAAAAGGAAGAGTTTGTTAAAAAATTTTGACTCTTCTACCTTCCATGTGGAAGTCCTGAAGTTGCATTGCAGTTGCATTTTGATAGCTCACTTCCTGCATCTCGTGATGCCTAACATTGTGCCTTAGTTCTCAGAATAGCTGCGAGTTACAAAAGGATCCTAATCTACCAAAAATAAACAAATAAAATAAGTTCGGCTACTTTTGCAGAATTGTGCTAATTGTTGAAAGAAAGGAGACTTAAACATTTTAAAAAACTTAATGTGAAGGGAAAAAAACCCCAAATCACTTGTTAATTTCCTTTGTCAGTGAGAATGTATGCTTCATTGATTAATTGGTATTTACTCTAATGAATGTGCTGTTGGTCACCATCCTACAAAGCTGAGACAAAATCCGTAAATCTGCGACCATTTAAATATCTCCTCCTTACCAATGTTTGAAATTCCAAGCTGAGTTATTGCATTTAAAATGGTAACATAGAAGATAGCCCTTTAAGATCACCTTATTTGTGGTGTCTCCTTTTTTTCTTTTGTAAATGTGTCTAGACATCATGTTTAGATGCAGCTTATGACATGATTTTGTTATCTGTKTAGAGCGTGGTTAGTTACAATTGAAACTCACAGGTGTCGTAATTATAGCCCTTCATTTTGCTCTTTGTTTCCCAGTATTGTCTTCAGTCCAGAATGGGTGAATAGTTTTGACTATTCTACCTTTGCCTTTAAATACAAGAATAAAAAAGTGGTCACTGTTGGTTGTGTTCTCCCAGGCATGTTCACCAGATCGATGCAGTGCTGCTGTCTCACCCGGATCCTCTCCATCTGGGTGCCCTCCCGTACGCTGTGGGAAAGTTGGGGCTCAATTGTGCYATCTATGCAACCATTCCTGTTTATAAAATGGGACAGATGTTCATGTATGATCTTTACCAGGTAATTTGAACAATTAAGAAAAAAATTTTTTATATTCTCATCAGTGATCATTTTTAACCTTTTGTTTGTGTTATTCTTTTAGTCTAGACACAATACAGAAGATTTTACACTCTTTACGTTAGATGATGTGGATGCGGCCTTTGATAAAATACAGCAGCTGAAATTCTCTCAGATTGTAAATTTGAAAGGTAAAAAATATTATCTGTAGTAAATAGTTTAGTAAATAGTTGTACTAATAGAGGTTTTGTTTTGTTTTGGATTTTGTCTTTTGGTGCTGGGGATCAAACCCAGGGCCTTATGTGTGTTAGGCAAGTGCTCTCCCATTGAGCTATATCCTCAGCCCAGACTCATGCAGTTTAATCCTCTGAAAAATACTGAGAATTCATAATAAAATTTATGAGTAGGTGCTGGGGTTGTGGCTCAGTGGTGGAATGCTCGCCTAGCATGCATGAGGCACTGGGTTCAATCCTCAGCACCACATAAATGTAAAAAATAAAGATATTGTGTCCATCTAAAACTAAAAAATAAACATTAAAAAAAAATTTATGGGTGCTGTGGTCTGAAGACAAATTGTTAGCATTTTCTGCCTTGACATGGATCTCTGAACTTCCTGATTTTAAAAGTATGCCAAACTAAAAACTAACAATTTTAATAGCTCAGACCTTGTTATATTTAGCTTGGGAAAGGCTTATTTTGGTGTTGACAGTGTAAAATGAACAAAAGTAATGTGTCCAGATCCTCCTCCTTGGGGCTTATGGTTTGATTGAGTAGCTCAGATGTACAAATGTGGAAATTAAAGGAAATAAAGTACTGTAATGACTGAATTCTAGAATTGGGATATAAAAAGCTAATTTTTTAATTAGGTCAGGATGTCATATTAAGTCTATATTGATGATATAAACAGATGTTTTAGAGATTTTCTTTGAAATGAACTCCAGAGATCATGCCAGCGTTGGAAAAATGGTATACTAATGAACTGTTGGGATTTAACAAGAAACTAAGAATAGTATTAATAGTTTTACTTGCATTTAGTTTTTCCATAGGATAAATTCTTTTCCTTAATGAGATTTATATTTTTATTTTCTGTTTGAAGGTTAGCAAAAATGGAAACGCTTGATAATTGTACGATATAAATATTAAAATTTACGACTGTGAATGTTCTGTAGTGGTTAAGCACTTGCCTAGTATGTGTAAGATCCTGAGTTCAGTCCCCAGCACCACAAAAAATAAATWAATTAATTGAATCTTATCTGTTCCTATTAAATAATTTAATAGTGCGCTGACTTTAAAGTATAATCTCTGAACTTCTGTTTACCAGTACAAATATCTCCACAAAAATACATAATAAGGGGCTGTGGCTGTGGCTCAGTGGTAGAGCGCTTGCCYAGCACGTGCAAGGAGCTGGGTTCAGTCCTCCGCACCACATAAAATAAAGGTATTGTGTCCAACTACAACTAAAAAAAAATTAAAATATAAAAAAATACATCATAAAGTGACAAGTGTTTGTCTTCATTAAGGAAATGGGGATAGGAGAGTCAGATTTACTTTTTTTTTTTAAGTTGTTGATGGACCTTTATTTTATTTATTTATATGTGGTGCTGAAAATTGAACCCAGTGCCTTACACATACTAGGCAAGTGCTTTACCAYTGGGCTACAATCGCAGCCATCCCACCAGACTTATTTTTCACTATTTGCATTTTTATTTCTAAAATACAACCTTTCTTTAGGGTTGTGAAACCAATCTGAATGTTGTCATTATCTTGTTGACATAGGTAAAGGACATGGCTTGTCTATCACACCTTTGCCAGCTGGTCACATGATAGGTGGAACAATATGGAAAATAGTCAAAGATGGAGAAGAAGAAATTGTTTATGCAGTTGACTTCAACCACAAGAGGGAGATGTAGGTATATCAAGACAAAAGATAAAGAAATTGCAATTGGTATTATTTTATTTGAAGGGAAAATTAGAAGCAATTTTTTTTTTCCTTCTCTCCAACCAGAAATATAGAGTAACTTAAAAGCACCAAATAGTGAATGTTTTTGTTATTACCTGCTTTGTAAGGGGAAAGTTTGGTACAGGACATAAAAGTGATTTTATTTGTGTATGCACTCTATAAAATAGGTGTCTCCCTGCATGTGTTGCAGAGGAAGTGAATTTTTGTACATTAAATTAGATTTTATGCTCTTGGTTTACTATTTAACAGTCTTTGTGGGAGGGTTGTTAAGTCAGTAATTACATATAGCTATTTTTTATTATAATTATTAGTACATATACAGATTTATGGTTTTCACTCTGACATTTCCATATATGCAAATATAGTGTTGTGTCGGGGGCTGGTTACTGGGCATTGAACTCAGGGGTGCTTTACCACTGAGCTACATTCCCAGACCTTTTTTAGAAAATTTTTATTTTGAGATAGGTCTTGTTAAATTGTCCAGGGTGACCTCAAACTTGCAGTGCTCCTGCCTCAGCCTTCCCAATTGCTTGGATTACAGGAGAGTGCCGCTGCAGCCAGCCATATATGTGCCTTTTTTTTTTTTTGGTGCGGAGTACCAGGGATTGATCTCAGAGGTACTTGGCCACTGAGCCACATCCCCAGCCCTATTTTGTATTTTATTTAGAGACAGGGTCTCACTGAGTTGCTTAGCACCTCGCTATTGCTGAAGCTGATTTGAACTCTCCATCCTCCTGCCTCAGCCTCCTGAGCTGTGGCATTACAGGTGTGTGCCACCGTACCTGGCTATATATTGTGCTTTGATCATGTCTACCCTCTTTTCTACTGTCATCTCATCCTGTTCCCCAATAATCCCCTCCTCTTTCCCTAATAGTTCTTCTACTTTCAGAGTCTTTTTTCTCTTGATTTGCATTTCCCTGATGGCTACAGATATTGAGAGAAAACACATGATACTTGTCATTGTATTTAACTTATTTCACTTAACATGATGTTATAGTTCTATCCATTTTCCTGCAAATTACATGATTTCATTCTTCTTTATGGCTGAATAATAATCCATTTGGTATGCCATGTTTTCTTTATCTATTCATCTGTTGATGGGAACCTAGGCTGATTCCATATCTTGGCTGTTGAGAATAGTCCCACAATAAACATAGATATRCAGGTGTATCTTTTGTATGCTCACTTTATTTTCCTTAGTTCAGTACCTGGGAGTGGTATAACTAGATCATATGGTAGTTCTATTTTTAGTTTTTTGAGGAACCTGTATATTGTTTTCCTTAGTGGCTGTACTAATTTACATTCCCACCAAGTGTATACAGGTTCCTTTGTCTCTACCTCTAGCCAGCATTTGTTAGTTTTTGTTCTTTTGACAGTGGTCATTCTGGCTGGGGTGAGATAAATCTCAATATAGTGCCTTTTTTTTTTTTGGTAGTGCTGGGGCTTGAATCTGGGGCCTTGTGCATGCCTGGTCTACCACTGAACCATATCCCCAGCCCTCAATGTAGTTTTGATTTGCATTTCCCTGATGGCTAAAGATATTTTTCCCCCATATCTTTATTGGCCATTCATGTACTACTTTTTTTTTTCCCCTGTACTAGGGTTTGAACCCAGGTTTGCTTTACCACTTAGCTATACGCAGTCCTTTTTATTGTTTATTTTAAGACAGGGTCTCACTAAGGTGCTAAGGCTGGCCTAGAATTTGCGATCCACTTGCCTCAACCTTTCAAGTCACTGAGATTACAGGTGAGCACTACCAGGCGTGGCTCATACTTCTTTTGAGAAGTGTCTGATCAGGTTGTTTGCCCATTTTTTAATTGGATTACTTGTTCTTTCATTGTTAATTTTTTTTTTAGTTTTTTTTTTTTATTCTGGATATTAATCCTGCATCAGATAAATAGCTGGCCAATATTTTCTCCTATTCTGAAGGCCATTTCTTCACTGTTGATTGGTTCCTTTGCTGTACAGAAGCTTTTTAAATTTGAATAATCCTGTTTGTTCTTGCTTTTGTTTCCTGAGCTATTGGAATCCTGTTCAGAAAATTGTTGTCTATGCCAAGTCTTGAAGTATTTCTCCCATGTTTTCTTCTAGAAGTTTTAGGTCTTACATTATGGTCTTTGATCCATTTTTTAGTTGATTTTTGTACAGGGTGAGAGATGGGAAGCATGGTTCAGTCTTTTGCCTATGGTTGTCTGAGTTTTATTAGCAGCATTTGTTGAAGAGGC